TTGCCAAAGGAAGCATAGTTATCTCTTCAAGATGCTTGATAGGTACAGTTTATGGTTTTTTTTCCAATATCCTTTCCGCTTCGTGGAAAGTCGGTTCATCATTGCCTTATTTGTAGGGCATTTTCCAACAGTGAGCCACGGTTGACCCGATGACGGGCCAACAGGAGATGCCCGACCATAAGCCAACTTCACTCAACTGTAAGCCAACCACCTGCAAGTAATGATCCAGCTATGGATTATGTACATTTCAACGAAAAGCCATTGAAAAACCCCATTAAAAAAAAACTTCTGACTGGGTTGGGAGGGCAATGGATGCAGGAGACTCAGTTACGTTCTTCTTCCTCGTGTTCGTTGGGCCTGCAATGTAAACCTTCGCAATCTGTGAGTGTCAAGAGATCCTTGCAAAGCATTTGCATCATGACATCAATAGGCAATAGTCCCTGCATCCACTCGATCAGTTCGCTCACACTCACAACTCACGTCATCGTATTCCCTGAGGACTTCCTCCGGGAAACTGGAATTGCGTAAATCATTGAGTGCATCGCAATTGTGTCCAGTCGCCCATGAACCAGGAGGCGTGGGTAGAACCCGAGCGAGGACTTACCTACGCTTCCATACATTCTCAATACAGTAAATTATTCCTCAGCAATGGCTTCGCCTGGTCGTAGTTCTCCGGTCTAGAAAGAGAAAGGATATTGTGAGTAATCCAAATGATAAAGGAGAGAACCGCTTTCAAACAACTGAGTAGAGGACCTGTTGTCGCATTGATCGAGCATGGCACACTCCGTTCCATTCGTGTCTACTAGATCCACGATCGGGACTTGCCAGAAGCCTGGGAAAGGCCCCTCTGGACGCTGTTCGATCTGACAGTTCTGTCATTTAATCAAATGAGATGTTGAGTATGCTGGAATATGGCACGAGGAAAATTACCAGTTGAATTTTCATTCAATTTATTGAATTTCTAGTAACGAATGCAATTAAAGTATCCCTTAATGACACAGAAAAAAATAATGAGAAAACTCTAAAAATGACCTATTTCAACGAGACAACCATTCCGACCATTTTTTGTCGGGGAAAAATGTATATCAGGGTGTGAGCCCGTCCGGCGAACAAATTCGCAGCACTCGGGTTTTCTACCGGGGGGGGGAGGACCTGCAGTCGTCATATGACATCCTACGCCCATAATTCAAATTGCCAGGGCTCAAAGTGTTAATGGGAGTTCTCCCCCCCCCCCCAATGGTTTTCTTCAATCAGTATAATTTCTAAAAACCGTAGCAACCGCATTGCTCCAGTAAAAATATTCCCGATCCCCCAAAAAAACCCACAGCAGGCCTTCTCGTAAAGCATTATTCCTTCCTTCCCCCAGGAATCAATTTTTGGCTTTTCTTGTGAGGGCTTATAATGGGGAGAGAGTTATCTTCCTCCCGAAAGTTTTGCTCATGCAAAAAAATTTGCAGAAAATAAACCTCCATCCCCCTCCTTCAAAAAATAAAACGCATAAAATAAAAGTAGTCCCTGGGATCTTCCTTAAAAGTAGGCTTTTTCTTGAAATCATCTTGTACTTTTCTATCGTATCTAGAACATGTTTAAAATTAGCGTCAGTCAGTCGCTTACTCGCGATAGTCTACATTAAGGGTATGGAAAAAAAAAACTCAAATGACTTAGACTTGTATCTTTGCTATCAATGGAGCTCTTTTCATGAAACGTACAGAATGCGTAAATATATCTCAAGTAACACAGTATGCTGACAGAACGTTTCCGAAATGTTGTCAATGTTGCTCTACGTTGCAAGTTGATGAACAACATTGATAAAATATTGCTTCAACATTTTTCCCTTTTGAGCGCTTGGAACGTTGCTGAGACACTTCTACGAATGTTATTGCAACATTTGCCGTCAGTATTGAGAGAATGCTGCCACTGTTGACATTGACAATGTAGCGACATCTTGATACAACATGCTATTAAAAGTTTTAAGGAATAATAAAGTTGTCACCTTGGCCACTAGATGCAGGCATAGGTCTGATTTTTCTCAGTACACAAAAGTGCCATTCTCTCTTTCCCTGGAATCGTCCCTCACAGGAGTGTTTAGCACCTTGCCATATGTCTCGCCTAGTCTCATGTTAGGAATGAAAGAACACGGACACTTCGTCATTTGTTATCCCCATATTCGAGACAGATTCAAGGAATCCAGGCCATAAACAAGCTCATATTCCGAAGGAACCCATTCCAAAAACTCGATTTCTTCCTAAAGGAGATTAAGAAAAAGATGGTAGTGGGTGTGTGAGAACTCAATCCTTTATTTCCTCAGAAAGAGGAGAGAAAGGGTCGAATTCGTGGACATTAAGGGAGGATGAACTCCTAAAAGGTACTGCATTGTGCATGGGCAGGGGTTACATCAGTACAGGCTTGGCCATTTTGGGAACGTCTCCTCAGTGACTGGGTAAGGAGTTAAAGTATGTAGTACGGAAATAATTCGATATTAGCGTGATCTACGGTCCAGGGCCTATGCTTTTCCGGGTAGTAATGCCAATATAGGTCCAGATTATGTGCTTGTGAGGCTACGTTCTCCGTCTACATTGCAGCAACTTAAGTTGAACAGTCCCGAAACATTACTGCAACATTAGAAAACTTATATGTAACGATCTGCAACGTCAATGGAGTTATTTTTACAGCATTCGAGCAACGATGACGTTTTGAACATTTGCACATTGAAGCAACATCGATTATCAACATTCTTAAAACGTTGCTGGAATGTTTTGTTATTTGAGTATCTGTGTGATTCTGGAAATTTATCGTGGACATATTGGAAATGTTACCCAAAGAACCTCATCTACTGAAAATTCGTCTGTACTATTTTTTTTATTGATTAACTTCCAAAATATGTTCTTACCATTGCTGCTGGCTATAAAATACTCGTAAATCTTGAATATTTCTCTGACCAGAGCCCCTGTAAGAGGTTAGTAAGTAACGACTACTTGTGTCGTCGGCCTAGCATCTACCAAGAGAAAAGAAGCTAGTCTCATCGGCTGAGACCACGACTGGAACCTCTACTGGAATCTGGTCTACCCTACCATGTTTACCAGGCGGGAGTAGGGACATTCCTTAGTCCGCGGGCGGTCGTTGAAGAAGCCTCCCCAGGAGAGAAGTGCGGATTTCGCGAAGAGCGCAGCACCACCGATCAACTTTTTACATCAGATTCAAGATAAGAATAGCGAATATGCCAAGAGGTATTGTGTACTAAGTACCCCTCGAAAAGGCATGCAATGTACGTTCGAGTGAGCGAGATGAACGAAGGACTCTCTCGCTTCGTGTTGGGCTTCACCGGGATTGTGATCTCTCTCCCTGTTTCCTCGTGTACATGGGTAGAATTTGTAGGCACATTCTCGGCCTGGATGGGGTCAACATCGATGGCATCCAAGTAAATATGCTTCTTCTTCCCGATGACGTAGTCCCTTTGTAGTCTAGACATGAGCTACGGGGCGTGCCGGATCGGTTCGACTCCAAATTCATACGACCGGAACGAAACTTAGGGTACATTCCGTTTATTTTCGGAAGATCTCCAGAAGCTTTTCGAAAAATGAAATGGTTGAGAAGTTCCTCCCGCGGAAGATCTGCCCTGGCTCTCCAGTCGGCGGAGGAAGCGGGGCGGAGCGGAGAGAAGAAGCATGACCACTCCCATCCCGAAGCATGGTCTTAATATTGAAGTCACCGTGGCACAGTGTTGATCCTTTGCTTTCATGCATTTTTTCCGAAGAGGAAATGATATTCACTCCCGTTACATTTTCAGGAGGATCGCGCACTCTTATAAAGCGCACTCTTATTTCCATTTTACGGAGAGCTACTGTACATCTTCCAGAAATAAATGGAGAGTACCCTTAATGTTTCGAAGAAATATGTAACGCTTCTCTAGAGAAATCCCGTGCATTGTATGTCGGGCATCCCGCTAAAACAGGTGAAGTTCAAGCATCCCGGGATCTGGCTCTCGAGTGATGTATGAAACAGAAACGTCTGCAGTTTCATCTCCCGAGCTTTTGCAATTTTGCGGCAACTCCGTCGGACTGTGGATGCCAACTTGGAAATTTTCAATAAGGTGAAACTCGCATTGAAACATTTTTTTATCTCCCCACTTTCCCCACCTGCTGGCCATGAGCTTTATGCAATGATAGAAAGGATCAGATAGGTTGACTAAGTTGGGGAGACTAGAATGCGGAGCACGTGAGATTGGCGAGTGGGACGGGGGCGGGGGCGGGGGAGTCGGGTGTGTTTAGACGAGATTGACGACCGGAGATGGGGGTGACAAGACGAAAAAGCAAAAATATATACTTTTTAAAAATAATTTTTCTTTTTTTTTTTCTTTAACGGGACATTTCTTGTGGTTTGCGAGACGCAGGACAGACAATTGAAATTCGAGATTGTTCCGCATTCTGCGAGACAGTTGGTCACCCTACAGATCGTCGGTACAAGCTGCCTCGATGAGGTTCTCACTTCGGGTGGCCGGTGTCATGCGTTTTGATATTGCTGCCATCAGAGAGAACATTTACGTCGAGCCGCTACTTCTCCGGATCGGAAGATTCCAAGTGGTGACTCTCACACGTCTGCCACATGCCCTCCGGAAGACTCCCAAAAAGAGTATCGCAGTCCAAAAGACCGGGAAAAAAACCAGTCGGTTGATCTCGTTCATGGTGGAACGACTATGATGCTCGTTTTGTCACTGGACGATCCTCATCCAACCTGCTGAACTTGAGCCCGTCGTTCAAGATCGGGAAGATTGGAAGACGCTCCTCCGCCTGTTCCGATCGCGACCACATTAAGATAACCAGCATTGCAAATTTATTTAACTTACGTATTTATGATTTCCCTTGCTGTGGCCATCTCCAAACATCCATGTTTTGGTAAGAGCAGCGAAGTTGAGAACTAGGGAAATCTCCAGGAGAGATAGACTCTTGCAAACCTTGGTGACATCTCCAAATAATTGTCATTCAGAAACGATCACGCATTCCTACTGATTGTCGTTCGTGTCGCGAAGTACTGTAATACCTACTACCTTTCACTTAATTATATCAAGATCACGTATATTCTGAATATTAAGGGTCAAAAGCGCATCTGCTGTACCGCCCTTAAGTGTATCTCCTGATGGACATTGACGGTAACATGATTCTGTTCCGATGAGAGCTCGGAATTCCAACGAACACTCGCATCAGAAAATCAAACTGTTGATGTTGATGCTGCTGTTGCGACTACTGTTGATGTTTGTGGGGCTGGTGGTGGCAAGGGCGGCGGCAGTGGTAGCCATGTTGGTCAATTGTACTGGCCGCATGCCTCCATCTTCCTCCAGTCTCAGGATCTATAACGTAGAAAGATCATATTGTCAGTATGATGCCAACGTCGCAAATATGCTCTACAGGGTGGGCCAAAAAAACCGGACAGTTTTCAATGATTCACTATGCTGCACTCACTGCATATATTTAAATACGGTTTGCGGTATTTGAAAGAGGAATGACTAAGCTTTAAAATGGTGTACTTACATTTCAAATATCTTCAGCAGTTTCTGAAAATTTGAAGTTCATATGAACTACAAGCAAAAACTGCGTTATTTTTGTAGCAGTGGGGATGGACAGGCGACGGCTGAAGGCCACATACCATCTGCGTCCGAGTGCGTGGCAACGCAGTTTTTCTTTTTTGTTCCTATGAGCTTCAGAATTTCTAAAATTTTTTGAAGATATTTGAAATATAAGTACACCATATTTAAGTTTATTCATTTCTCTTTCAAATGCCGCAAACATCATTAACATTTATGCAGTGAGTGAAATGTAGCGTATCGTTGAAAACTGTCCTTTTTTTTGGCCCACCCTGGATAACCGATTTCGAGTTAATTTGAAGGTACAGCAATCATCAAGGGATTTCTGATATCAAATTCCGGAATCTGTCGAAGTAATTGATACCTGAGAGGCAATGCGAACTTCACAAATCTGTGATAGACTCACAAATCTACCACATATGGATAAGGAGAATCAACGATTTCACAAAATTAGCAGGTTCGTGACTTAGGCATTGGACCTACGATGTCATGTATACTCGTCACATCACCGTGTTTTTTAGACCGTAAAGGATCTGACCATCTGACCATCAGGGCGTGAAAGGGAATGAACAAGGAATGTCCGGCGACCAACTAAAACACTTGCATGCATTGGGGAAATAATCTGCATAGACAGAAGGACATGGCTCTCATCTTGGCAATTTTCTCAACTGATATACTTTGAACAATGAAAGCATTAGCTTTTTCTCAAAGTCTCATGGACTTTGAACAGAGACGCTTCACGGCTTCAAATCACGTTCACTTAGACCATAGCTTAATTAGCTTAATTAGCTTCTCTCAAGATTGGCCAAGAATATAACGGAGAATGCCTTCATGACTGTCCCTTGACATGCCTTGAGGGTATAGCAGGATGAGGATGAGCAGGATGGTGGATAAATTAGGCGTGGTCAGGTGGTCCATGACACTGATTATAGAATGATCCAATATGATCCCTATCTCAGTTTTCAATCTCAAGGATTTGAGGATGAGGATGGGGTTCTCGATCAATAATAAACTTTCTGCTTCTTTAGATTGAGGGCCCTCACTCAAAAGTGAGCTAGTACAGCAATCACAGCAAATGGACGAAAAAATCTCATGCTGTCGATACCTAGAAATAGAAATAAATTATGAGTTGCGTGTATATGTTTGGAGAGCGAGTTCTCCATTGCGAAAATCCCGATTCGATAACGAAGAAAACTAGTGGAGACTTTCCAATTTCAGGTGTGTCCTCCCATGAGTGGAATGAACTGGGAGCTAGCTGTTTTCTTACTCAAATTTGATTATGTGTGGTTGTATAGCTAGATAGGAAGCCATTACCTACACTCTTTCCAGATGATCTCACATGACCTCTTCAACGCTATTCCCGGCCATCTCGAGATTTACAATTCCTGAGTAGTATTTGTCGCTATGGCGATTTGAGGGAGATGGGACTCTTTCTTTCCATAAGCCTGGTTTATTGTAATGTCAGGGTTTTTTTGAAACTGAGTATGTTACCAGATGGGTGAAAGGCTCGAAAAGTTTGAAGGCATGGTTCTCCACGGACAAGGGCCTTCGCTTGCTGGATTTGAATCGAGGGGAATTGGGAAGAGACAGAGAGAGAGAGAGTGAATGCATATGTGTGTGTGCGTGTGCGTGTTGTCTGTCAATATGTTCATTTGACTCTGTGACAAGGACTACAAATTCTTGCAAGAATTCTAATAGAAGCACGCTGATGCGCGAAAGCACGTTTGGGGGTGGCAGTTCGCGAGTTTTTTTTTTCTGGCGGTGAAGGTTTCAGACATGGAACAGAAAAAGAACCGAGACCTGGTAGTGTGAGTAGACGACAAGGATGAAGTAGACTTCGATTGCGGCGAAAAGAGAGGTGACAATAAGGAAACTGGCGTGGAGATTTTGATGTGATTGCTGATGGGTGCTCATGGACTCGGGATGGATAACGATGCTCAAGTACTTGGGATGGATGGCGAAGGCAACAATCATCCCTCCTTCCCAAATGACACCGATGCTGCTCCACGCCAACCACGGCACCAGCGCCATTCGCTTCGACTGATCAGAAAGCATACCATCAATCCATGCCCTTACCTTCTCGCATGCTGTATTGGATATCGCGCAACAAGATCGATGGTGTTCGTAAGAGGAATCTTTGCAGGAATGGGATCGATTGTGGGAACCCCACAAGTCGGCAAAATTAGGTTCCAGCAAGAAGGATGCGTTCTTGTGAGGTTCCCTATAGAGATTCTCCTTTTGAGTTCGAAAAACCTTCCCGGAACCCGTGTATGTTGCCCCAAAGAACTGTGCCTGATGTCGCCAGGACAACGCGCGGGTTTTTCTCAAAATCTGTCTCATAGACGTGAATCAAGGTTTCCAATTTTCTGTTAGCGTAGGTTATCGAAAAGCCCATACTTCGCGTGACCTCTCTTTTCGAGAAATTCGAGTTTCAAAACATCAAGTAAGGGTCCTGTAAATTAGACACATAGAGAAGAATAAACATATGCAAATACACACAGATGTTTTATGCTTGTTCCTCTTCAAGCTCTCAGTCACGTCAAGAGTCAAGAGTCAAGAGAGTTAGTGATATCAAGAGGCGATTTCGCCCATTTCGATATCTCGTGTCGAGGTCGAGCGTTCCTTAATTTTAGGATTTAATTATCTTGAAAGCCTGGATGAGATCGCCCCTCCTTAACCTTCGCTCGAGCGAGTACAGTCCCAACACTTCTAAACGCTTCTCGTATGAAAGTCCCCTGACCTCCTTAATGATTCTTGTGGCCCTCCTCTGTACTCCCTCGAGCGCCAACAAATCGCCCTTATTTGTAGGCCTCCAAAACTGGATGCAATATTCCTACTGGGGTCTGAATTACAGCGTGAATTACCTCTCAGTTCTCATCCAGGAGCGGAAGTTTGTTCAAAGGGTAGTTTCGAAATGGCTGACACAAGCGTTGATGTTTCAAGGAGGCGTTCAATAATATATCTAAGAGATGCCACGCTATGGAATTGGTTGTTCAAAGCAAATAATGTTCTTTCCTCAGTGGCGCTATCGCAAACAGGAAGCAAAAAGTAGGGCTAAAGAGATCAATGAATTTAACGCGCTTTCAAGTACCTAGAATCAGTCGACTTACCTTATTATTTATTTAAGAACTCCGATATTTTCGTCGAGCGAAAAAAGGGGTTTTACTAAGGTTAGAAGGAAAAGAGCGGCAAGAGATTGCATGATTTTCTGATGGAAATGTTCTCTCAGGCCTATAGGGATCCCCTATAGGCCCACACAAAGTGCCTCTGTGAATCTCCACTTTGGGCAACAGACATGAAATTCAGGAAAAACATTGGGTCTGCAACATGTAAAGATTCTGATTCGTGATGCCACCCGTCTGGCTGAAATTTCAAGAGGGCGTATCATGCGCGACGGACGGAAGGAGAAGAAAGGGAAGCAGACCTTTCGAGCTCCATGGATGAGCAAAGGAGCCAGGAGAAGATCTGCACAGGACTTCACCAGGCTACTCACCACCAACAACTTCTCCACTGCGTGCGATTCCATCCCATTCGTAATGTTAGGTTAGCGCATGGTGGTACACTCGAGTGACACGCGAAAAAGATCGTTACGCACGAACGGCTGATGCTCGGATGTCCGTGAGAGTATTTCCGCAGAAAAGTTCACTCTATTCCTTGGAAGTAGTCGCACGGACGATCTATTGGGACGATCTGGCATGCGGGTAACTTTAATGAGAGCAAACTACCGCGTGTGAACCCACCCCAAGGGCAGAGAGTACTCGTACATATGAGAGATTACTCGAATGAAAAAGTTACTCCCTAGAAAGTGGCACCCAGCGTTTCCGCACACTCCCCGGCAGCACAACTACGTTGGACCTATGCTGGAATTCAACATTTGCTATGTGGGCCCAACGTTGCTTCCCAACGTTGGTCCCTTGTAGGCTTGTTCCGCGGCCCCACGTTGGGCCAACATCGAATGCCGACGTGTGCCATCACATTCAGGGGGTTAAAGGAGGTTTCGATTCAGATTATATTTCCGTACGTAATTATTCAGTTCCTCTACCGGGGAACTTGCTACCGAGACTCTCTCGGTTTGGCTAGAAGTACTATAGGGAATAATACTTCCTCCGATTGTCATCTTTTGAGGCCTTCACTTTCCATCACAGGATTTGAGCCCCACTAAGCCCTTCATCCGCTATGGAAGTGCTTGCCTGGCAAGACTCGGATGATCGTATCTTTAATCACACCCGAACCTCCCCGAGGGGAACCAGACTCAACCTCTACAATCAATGTAAAATTATATGTTTTAGCCTCCGAATATCGAGTGAAGCCCCAATTTGAATTATGCTTCCTCCACGATTAACGAGAGTCTTTTTGGACTGCTTAATCTGTTTAAACAAATGAGAAATTCGAGTGTCTTCCTTTACGTTCTCTATGGAAATGGATCAAGTACCGCAAGAAAGGTACTGGGGTCTTAAATTAATTAATCACTCTCTGATCCCACTGAAACAGCGGCTGCATAGTCCCCATCTCGCATCAACTGTGGGAAGCTTTTTGTTGTAATGGTGGCTACATACCTGTCATCTCGCTTATTCTGTGGGATGTTTTTTGTTCAAATAACTGAGATAGATGTCGCATCCCGAGTCATGACAAATGTTGCTGCCGCCCTACACCCTTATAAAAAGGGGAGCGATTTTTCTCAAAAAAGGGAGTAAAATCGCTAACTCCAGTTTCACTCCCCTTTCACTCTGGGAAAGGAGCGAATTTGCTCCATCACCAAGGAGTAAAATTGCTCTCCTCCTTCGTGAGTAAAAATACTCCCCTCAGAAGGAGATAGGGATGTCATGCAAATACGCAAACCCTCTTATAGACTGTAGGCCGCTTTTCGCTCTCGATTTTGTCAGTACAGGCGTTGACCTACATCTGACTGTACTGATTATAGTACATGTCAGAGGACGGACCACCTCTTACGGTTTCATGAAATGTCCGCGTCTTCATTTCCTCGTTCTCACATCAAGTTGAGAAAATAGGAGAAACGAGCTCACGGACGTCTCCAAAGAATTCTAGATCTCCTCTGCGGATGAAATACTTGTGTGTTTCGAAAGGGTTCTCATAAGGAATATAAGCTTGTTTATTCGCCTTGTCTCTATGAGTCTGTCTTGAATATGTGGATAAAAAAGACGACGTGTCCGTGTTTATTGATTCCAATAATGAGACTACACTCTTAGAAAAGAGTGAGCGATTTCCGAGAAAGAAAGCGAAACTGGAGTTAGCGGTTTTACCCCCTAAAAAAGGGAAGTGCAGCCGCTCACCTCTCTCTTTCCTGAGAATGACCACTAACTTTTTTTTACTAGTTTAAAAAATACTCTCCCTCATTCGTTTCGCGCGCTTAAAAAAGATATGGATTTTGCTCTTATAAAGGAGTTGTTATCAATTGCACTTCCTCGTTTTTAGTGAGTAAAACCGCTAACTCCAGTTTCGCTCCCTTCCTCGGAAATCGCTCACTTTTTTCTAAGAGTGTAGGCGAGACATATGACGAGGCACTTAACAATCCTGCAAGGGATGATTCCAGGGAAAGAGGGAAGAGAACTTTTGTGTATTGTGCGAAAAACGAGACCCTTACCTCTATCTAGTGGCCTGGCAATAAACTTCTTCAATACGAGCGATGAGGGAGCATTTGGTGAGCAATAAGAGAGTACATTTGAAAGGCTCACAGTGGGCTCACTTTTTACTCCCTAAACGCTCGGAATTTTCTAAGAGTGTAGCGCCAATGTGGGGCCAACGTCGGCAAGCCCACTGCGTTGTTGGCCCACTCGCACCCAACGTGGGCCCAATGTATTGTGCTACCAGGGGTTCCCATGAAAATAAAGAAGATTCGCATGCGCAAACCCATCTATCAGATATTAATCGACGCCGTCATGAATGAAGAGAAAAAGAAGAGTGAACGACCTTCGGATGCCAGAGGATCCTTGTGTTCTCGGTCTGCCTCCTTGCCTCGATCTCGGCCGGCCACCCTCATCACGCCCGTCCCCATCATCACCGCACCGAAAACCTGAATATCATCAAAAGAAGCCCTTTATTTGCTCCATCGGAAGCCTTCGCGAAGATGAAACGGAAATGATCCACGACGGGTAATCGAGCAAGGAAACGAGTAGTGAAATCCGAATCCCATTACCCCGACAATCAGCGTCGTCCCGAGCGGATCGAATTCCTCTGGGATGAAGTTCTCCTCCCAATTTCCAGCGCATATTTTATTCATGCATCGAAATGGAGAAGGGGATTGATCCCAATTCTCTCTCGACATCATGCTACTCATCGATTGACGCGGAATCGCGATATTTTGAAGACAATACGTCACCAGATTTTGCAAACCCCCTTTTTAATCGTGCCCAATTAGATGCATCGATCCTATTCGGCCTTGAATAAATTTCTTATTAGCCTTTCGCATTCCCAAATCCAATGATGAGACTATCAACCGAAATAAGGTCTGACATGAGGCAGCCAATATATACTATCTAATAATTGGCTTCTTTATCACCATGGCAACCGATATTGAAGTGGGAGATCCCTTTCCAGTTTGCGAATGCTCTTAAGCTCAGAGAACTCGAAAAGAGTTGCTGGAAATTACATTTAAGACGGGTTCCGAGAATCGTGGAAAGGAGAGATATGTAAAAAAAAAAAGATTGGAGTTTGACTCCCTCTGAAGCCTCATTTCATCTCGCCGTAGGATTCCGCAGGATTCGGGACAACCTTTTATCGATCCTTTAAAAATCCTCTCGCTAATCCTCGTCATTCTGAAGTATGAGGGAAAGCTGTAATTTTCCAGAATCTGTCTGAGAGATTGTTTCCAGGAAACTTCGTTCTCAGTCAGCTGAAAGAAAATAACAAGGAAAGAGAATTATCATCCCGTCGTGTTCCCTTTTTCCCCCTTCCCCTCTTTCTCGCACTAATGCATGAGCGAGACTGCGAGAACGGTGGAATTCGTCATCAAAAGAGAGGGAAACATTATGAGGTCCTATGATAGAGAGAAATAAAGGAAAGACGCAAAAGGAAGAAGAGAAATTAAAAAAGGCCGGGAGGGAAAGCCGAGACATGACGACTTGGGACTACAGCACCGCTGCACCAACGACTTGGAGCCTCCAAGACTTTTCGCATCCTCACCTCTTTTTAGTGGGCCTCCTTTCATGAAAGGAAAGAGACCACGTAAGGTCCCGTCCTGTCCGTCCGTGTGTTCCTGTGTCCGTGTGTCACTTCGGTTGTCCAACGATAACTGACACAATTTTGGACTGATATGAAAAGATACAGGGTGAGTTTTTTCGCGGCGAATAAGCACCAAAATTGGCATTTTTATTGCAAATTTTGGATTTGAAATTTGCTAACGGAGGGGAAGGCATGAATACCCTGAGCCCTTCAGGATCTGTCACAATGCGCATGCGCATACGGCCCCTGGCCTTGGGCGCGGTGCCGTGTCGGCAACCAGAGCTGTCAGTTCCCTCCCAACCTTCGTGGTGGATGGTTCCAAGCATGTACAACTCTCCATTCTCCCATCATCATTTCATGGGCATCAAGGATAATTTTCAAACGTAACTGAAAGATGATGTTTTCGATGGCTGAAGACCGGAAAGCGTTGGCATTTTGTTTAATTAGATGCCAAAATGCGGGTCTCCTAAAATGAAAGGAGGCTACTGGACTTGGCTTGCCCATCTTGTTTTCTTATAAATACGATAACGTCACATGCTTCGTTCTAAGAGTGTGTGGCCAGCGTCCCGCAGTTCTAGCCCACTGTGCCAAGCCAGGGAAATATCATTTCTTTCTGATACCAATCTACCCCTTGAGAGATGGGGAATCACCTGGTAACAGCTGCCAAAGCATAATTAATAGTACCAGTTGCTTGAAATCTGGCAGGGCTATTAGAGGAGACACGCCAAGATGGAGCTACGGATTGACCACGTTACAATAGATGGCCTATGCCAACAATTGATACGAATGTATTCAACAGAGAAGTTCTTCATCTCCATTAAAACCAGTTCGAGACCAGGCAATTCATTCGAGAATTCTCGGTTAGAAACCATAAAAATGGAAGCTGTGAAACGGGGAAGGAAAGACGAGAAAAGCAAGGAAGCAAGGTTTTCGTATCGAGATGAGATGTGCCAGTTTTACTGCAGGATAATGCAGATGCATTTAGACGTTACATGAAAGGGTTTTCCTAGTTTCCGTTCACAATAGTGAAAGGGATACGCGCTCATCTACTGTACGTCTACCACCATTTCTCGAAATGAGAAATGAAAGAATATGTCACCAACTTATTGCTTTTTTCCAGCTGACCACCCTCGCACCCCTTGCACCTCTGCCCCGCACCCCTGGTTAAGAACCCCCGCTCTATTCACGGAATTTTCCGTAGTTCATGGTCCTTTTCTCCGAATTTGACCTTTGCCATCGACGACGATCCTATTCCACTCTGCAATATTGGGTAAACATATGATCTCAAGGCTTCTGGATTCATCCGGCTCAAGATTCTTAGAAGGCAAACTTTTGAAGTTGAAAACAGAAGACCCGTTTGAAGAACTCATTATATATCCCTGTTTGTCCTCTGCGACTTTCTTATCCC